ATTTTCGAGAAATATTGGGTGATTTTGATGTCGACAAGAGCTAAAATAAATGAAGCGCGTAATATAGCTCTGTCACGTGCTCACACGCCATTCTGCCGCATACTGATCACGTGCAGTTCAAGCTTTTAACTCCCAAGATTTGATTGCTGATTCTTCCCTCTTGCCGCTACATGTTTCCTTTTAAATTACGTACGTGAATTTGGTTATAGATCAAGATAACAAGTTCTACCTGATAAGTTTGAGAATGCTCACTACCTGTGTGATGGATAATGTATGAATATTATAGGGAGAATTTACATGTTAATCATTTCTGAGAGTTAAGGGGTTAAGGAAATTAAAACGCGCGCAGACTTCGTTTTCGTGTACGAAATTGCTGTGCTATCTTAAGAAAGTCAATGTGCTTTTTCTTTGTTTTTCATTTTTTGCCTTTATTTTTTTCTACATTTTTCTGGATGACGATTGATTCATTCTGCGATTTAAATTCAGCTATTTCCCTTTCAGCGCAAAACACTCGCAATCCGTGAAATTCTTTTTCTCCCTAGAGCAGGACTTACATTGAATCGAAAAGGATGATTTTATACCGTGAGTTGTATTTCACCAATACAATTTCTCTTGGTCAGAGTAATTAACTCGATAAATCACTCGTTCGCTGCGCTCTCTCGTGAGATATCGAGATGATAGCAATTTCTAGGTGATGTTGATGGTACTCAATTGCGGTTTTGTATTGTCCAAGACTGTCATAAGCGATGCCGAGATTGCTATAACTCTGAAGCTCGTTTCTCACCCCTAATTCTTCTTCCGTAGTTGGGAGGTCACTTTCAGCCATAGCTGGAAATAAAATAGAATTGATTGTACTGCGCTAGAAAACATGGTTAAAAATCAAAAGAGGAGAGTCAAACAAGAGTAATTTGAAGAGAACGTCGTACCCTTATATATTCAATTATAAGGAAAAGACGAGAATCTCAACGTTTCCTCCGTCACGCTATTGTTGCAGAGTGACAGACAACTGAGTTCTGCGAGATGTTTCTTGTTTATTTACTTGTTATTTTACTTTTATTTGGTCGTTTGTTTGTTGTCGTCAACTTATCTGATGACACAAGGTTCTTCGTAATTAAAATGCTTCTGTTCTCATTAAAAACCTAGTTCTACCTAGTTGGCATGGAAAAGCACAGAAAGAAAGACTCTTTTTTTCTCTTCGTACCTTCACCTTATCACGTGAGGGGCAGGCAGCATTGGCGAAACTTACTCAAACCCGAAACGCAACTTATGGTTTACGTGACCGTCACGATTTCTGCCAACACCTTGCGAGCCTTTTACGTAAAAAAAACGCGTTTATATGCAGTCATCCAGAAACACTTAACGACCAAAGGAAGTGAGTGTGAGATCTTACTTTTTCATAAAGTGTATGTGCAAAATTTCCCACAAAGCTATCGAAAATCCCACAAATATTCTTCTGAAGGAATTGAGAAAATATGAATAACTGGAAATAGCTGGCTCTTTACCAACTTTGTTGGGGAAAATTTCGCCTTTTCATTTCGAATTCATTTTGATCCAAAGGCACTGAATAATAGTATATTTTTCGGGACTGGAGAAATATTTCTAGTTGTACCTTCCATCAGTACCCTTGCTATCAAGAAATATTATCAACTACGAACTAAAGCCAAATTGGGAACCGCGCGTTAAAGTTAGACTCCTGCATAGCTTAATCTTGTAGGCCAATTGAGGGACTTTTATTGCCAGAACATAGAAGCATTTGGCGGAGGAAGCAAACTACAACTGAAAAAACCTTCTGTGATATCGCAAACCTAGGGAGAACTTTGAAAATATTTATAAAAACATGGTTGTGAATGCTGTTGAATTTTGAAGGAGATAGTTTTGAAATTTCTGTTAGCTGGTGAGGCGGTCTCGTCTTTCAGAACCAGATTCTGCACCATCATCAGCATTCACTGAGCCCACGTTTTTACCTTTCAGCGTACGATGTAAACAAACAAGCTTATGTGCCAATTTAGTCCGTTACTTAGCGAAAGGTATATCTACTAAAACCGAACTCCAACTGAAAACCAGTGAGAAATAGCATGACTAACCGCCTTTTGGATACGCAGTTCGTATTGTTTTAGGCAAAAATTCAGTTACCGTTGCAGACCATATTAATAGCGGGCTACGTTTGAATGATGTGGGCAAGCCTTCAAAGGAAAAACCAAAATAATTAATGGTGATGTTGGCGAGGTTTCGTTTCTATACGTGATCAAGATTTAGCGGATTAAGAAAAGGTGAACGTGAATCGAAGGATGGACGAAGTGAATTTTACATCTATACTTATATCTCGGATAGATGATTACGTCATTATCTGAGTTAAAAAACCAAAGTAATTAATCGTGACGTTGGCGAGGTTTCGTTTTCATACGCGATCAAGAATTTGTAGTCATTGTGGTTTCTGGGGTAAAAATTTCACTTTTTTTGGCTTTTTTATCACGTTATTCAAATATCCCTTCTCGCTCTCTCGTGAGATATCGAGATGATAACGAGAGATGAATTCCATATCCACAAGCCACCATGTATTATTTTGCTTACTATGTAAGCACGATAGGTCTTTATTGATAAAAAAGGCCACTTTATCAAGGAATGAAAATTTGCTATTTATTCATGAACCTGACAAAGTGGCGCGAAAGGTGAGTGACGTGTCAGCAGCTGATTGGCGATATCGATCAGTGCAGCTTACATGAGAGATATTTTTCCATCATCTTTTCATGAAAATGCGTTACGTTTTTTCCAAATGTTAATTTTTCGCTTTCACCGTTACGACTTCATAAATGTTCTAAAAATAATAAGGGTGAACTTTTTTCTTGTAAATAACTCCCGCCAATCCTGCGCCAAATATGTTTGCAGTCAAAAGTGAAAAGTCTCCAGTGAAATTCAATGGCGCTGTAAATCTCATTCTAACACAATCAGTTTTGGAATGATAAAATCTGTTCTCTCCGAACATGAGAATGATGCTGATTTACGAAATTAAAAATATGGGTTCGTTCGCACGTAATCGAGTCCTGAGCAAGATTAAACAGACGTCCATGTATCTGATGTTTTCATTCGCTGACTGCCTCTCACATGGAAAGAGAATTTGATGTTACATCAAAATACTTCCCTTACGAGATAACTTTCTCGGTTCTCAACGATTACAATTTGTTTTGGCTGAATCAGTTGCATTGATATCTACTCTGTGAGAACAGTCTACACGTGTTCTTTTCTGGAGGGAGACGTAAAGCTAAACAACATCCTTTCAACAATATAGTGGTCTTCTAGTATATTTTTTTCACAGTTTTTCCATCTTTCGATTAAGATATGCTACATATTTCTAACTATCTTTCCTTACCCAAAGAGAGCTTGCAATGAAACTCCAATAAAGCTCTTTTCCAAGAAGGATAGTTCACTTCTCGTCGTAACTAAAGGAAAGGAGATTCAAATCGTTTCCACTGAAGTTATTCAGTTGTTTTACTCTCTGTGTATTCCATGCATCTTAGAAACCCTCGGTGTATCTTACAGGAATTTTATGAATAAATTGTTACTGAACGAGTTGTCTGTAAGCTAGGACCGTGAAAAAGAAATCTGAGTCCCTCCCTCTCGTTGATCCCCCGAGATTTTTGCTGCGTTGGGATGCAGTAAGCGAGGCCATATATTATGGTTCATATAAGATTAGCGGTGCACATGATACTGGAATCAGTAATGTTGTAGTTTCATAGCTTCTCGTGGGCACTGAGATAAATCAGCTACCTCAAAGTCTGTTATGATAATCTTAATGTTGGCATTGTCGTTTAAACTGGTACGATAATTTTTTCGGATTATGTTTTTTCATTTGTCACGATGGAGTTCGAATTTTACTCTCTTTCGTTAAGTATTTTCAGTCATGACACTTTCAACATATATGATGATTTTAGCAGTATGCAGCTTAGGATGATGTCTTGTATGTACCCAGGCTCATTTAAGAGAAAAAATCTATGGCTACATGAGGGAGAGTTTCAGATCGTAATATCTGAAAGTCTTAGATTCAAATCCTCGGAAGGAAAGGCAATGTTTTTCTTTCGCTCGCGTTAGTCACGAGTAATTAAGAACGATCTATTTTTCTCACTCTTTCGTATGTTTGCATATTTAGTCAATACCCGCCTACCTCATTCACTGCACTAGATTCTTATTAACTAATTCAGTTCTCACCTTACCTTCTGTAAAAGTGTGATTTGCCCCACAGGTGTGTAACAAAACGTTGTACTAGGTAACACCAGCAGTATCGAATAAGCTGAATATGAGCTCATCGAACTCGAAACAGAAAATTTTGTGTCATTAGTTTATTTCCTGATACATGATTGTATTCTGTGACTTTGTTCTTTCACTATTTATAGGCCAAGTTGGAACTGGGCGACGTAACATTTTTCAGCCTTTCACTTTCACTAATACTGATTATGACACAATAACATTAACATCCTACTTATTATTTGTTTATTTCGGTGTGGTGGTCGTTAAACTGCCGCCTGGTTAGGGTGTACAGCGCGGAACTGTTGTGCTGCAATATCTTCCAATAAATGCGGTTCAATACTAGTTATAACCAATGTCCTGCAATGCTGAAGGTTGAAGTTTCAAGCCCCTGACCAGACCAACACTCAGGGTCGTGAAATAACTGACCAAACCAACACTAAGGGTCATGAAATGACTGAGGAGATGATATCCGCAAATGGTTAGACATTCAAGTCCTCTCTGATAACGACGATAAACCGTAGGCCCGATTCCCGTATCTTCTCTGTACTGGTTCGCGCGGGACGTTAAAGAACCCAGTTGCTCTTTTCAAGGACAAGGAACGTAGCTTCCGGTGTTGTAGTCTGGCCTTGTCGGACTGTTTAAACGAGTGTCCATTTTTTTTTCAGCTTTAAAAGCTGAACTGGGCCAGCCTGTTTAAACATTTCAAATCTATAAGATATATGATTGAATAAACTAACGTGGCCCTTGTTTATGAACAGGACCTGATTGAGCTTCAAGAATTGTTTGAAAAGACTGTTGTTAACTTCTCTGTTCTTCCCCGGTAAGTTGCGTCAATAGCATGGCAGTTAATTTTTCAATCTGTGATTTATTCTTAAGAAACCCTTTTATTGCCATCATGCTCAACTAACAAGGACCAAACAAATAAACTCACCTTCCCCAGACTCCGCTCTGACTTGGAATGTTTACGCGAGGTTTGGAACACGTGGCGGGCAGTGCAGGAACAACACACGGAATGGAAACGAGGCCGTTGGCAGCGAATCAACACAAAGCTTATGAAGAAAGCCACTGAGGCGCAAATTGATGTCGTCACAGCTCTGCCGTTTGAGGCGCATGGGTGGGACGTGTTTGTTGGCATGCATCATGCTATCCTTGATATCCAGGTATTGAAGAAGCTCCCTCTAAGAACGTTAAGGGCTCGAAGCTTTTGAACTATGTATCTATGTGCTGTGCATCCCTGAAAAAAAATTGTCAGAATCGATTAGGTTGGATCTTTTGCCTTGATTCATGCGGCTGTGACGAAAAAATCAAATTCTTCTCGGAACGTCATGCGTGTTTAAAGAGTCACTTTCGCTTGTAAATTTAGTTGCTGGGTGAAGTCGTATCAAGGGAACTTTTAGGAGCAAATTGTCATCGGTGACATCTTAGCAGTATTAAAGTGAAGTGCCCTCATTTTCCCACCGAAATAAAGGCGAAAAGCTAGCAATTCGTTATGAAAAGTTAAAACTGTGAAATGAAGGTATCTACGATGGGCTTAGATTTGAAGTTGAAAATAAAGTTGCAAATTATCTTGCTCTAAGTGTAGAATTTCTCTTGTGCCTGTTTTTCTTAGGCTTGCCTACCAATCATTGATGATCTCAGTCGCTCAGCCATGCGGCCTCGTCACTGGAAGCAACTGTTACGAGTAACAGGAGGAGCTGTGCAGATCAGTAATGAAGGACTGACGAGAATGACCTTGGGACAGCTCCTGGAGCTGGGGCTACACAGTAAGGAGTTGTCAGAGAGCTGTTGACTATGATCTGACTGCTAGTACGACTACGAATACGAGTTTTGGCCGGGAATAGAGTGGCACTAGTCCTTCGTAGTCGTCGTCAGCCGTGACGAATTTGTAACTTTAAGTGAACACGTTGTAACACACAAAAGCGTAGCTTTTTCAGAACTAGGAAAACACTTCACAAATCGACATAAGGCCTTGCTGAATATACAGCTGTACCTTCTCTGTGGTTTTTTTTATATTTCTGAAAAAGTTGTATCTGAAAAGACAAGTTTACGATATTTCCAGAATATCTCGTAGTTAGTGACGGAATAGCTATGACTTTGTCAGGGTTTGCGTGACTTGTCACGTTGCGAAGCATGCGCACTACCCCTAGGGAAGAAACTTCGTAGTTGTAGTTGTACTCGTAGTCAGATCTAAAACTCTTTACTTATTAGAGTGAAGTGATCTTTATTGATTCAAGGAATAGGTCATTGTTGGTGCATCGTGAAAAATAGATGTCAATGTTTTAATCACAATCCCTTTCAATCTCTTCCATCTCTAGCCTTCCTTGTTCTTTCTAAGTTTTTTTAATGCTTTTTTGTCTTTTTCTTTCTTAATGAACCAATATTGTGTAGCCTTGCTATGTCCAAGAGTGTTTCTACATGTTGCAGAAATATTTCCAAATTTCCATGAACTTATTCTCTAAGAGAGAGCGCTAACATTAGAAATATAAAACAGTCTCTATCATCAGCACTATCCGCTACTTAAGCAAACTGAATCAGTGCTTTGCTGCTATCATTTCATGCTTGTCTGTCAATGTTTTACTTTGTCTAACGATAACTTAAAACTCAGTTAGAATAATAGATTTCTGAGGTGTTTTGGCAGCCATTGAAAGAATTGAATTCAAAATGTATGTGTTTGTTTGTTGTTATTTGTAGACCATGCTGAAGAGGTTCGGTCCATAATTCAAAGGGCCGCAAAAGATGTGGCTATTGAGAGTTCACTGAAGACGTACGAGGAAGTCTGGCTGAGTAAGATCTTTGAGCTCAGGGTGCACACCAGGATGAAGGGCCCCTCATCGGCTGCTGCAGGCACTCAAGAGGTAAATATGGCGACGAAGCGCAGATCAGAGGGTCCTAGGCTCGACTCCACAGTGGTGACCCAGATGTTGTTTATCCTATGTTAGTTACAGATTTAGTGACGTTTTTCTTGATTTCTGTCTTTAGATTTGGTACTCTTTGCATAACAGAACAGAACTCTCCATTTTTGGGCGCGATTGCGTTGCTTTCTTCCATAAACTCCTTTGCAATTTTTTTTGGCATCTTGGAATGGAGATAGAATTCAAGGTTTCAGTTTGCGATGAGAATTCTGGAAAAGTAGAACTTCCTCTCTGTAAACAGAAACGAAAAAATATACCCGAAAGTTGTTTTTATCGCTTCTTGTTCGCGGATAGGAACAGTATTTATAGCAGCAACAACCGCGGTTGAAAATTAATATTCAGTGTGAGCATTCATGTATGTTCGATGATGGATTGCTTCAACAGACACCTGGCAGCGAGTTCGGTAATGACTCTGAGATGAACATGCATGCTCCCCGCGGTCTGTCCAGTCGAGTATCAGTGACGAGTCACGGCAGCGGAGGAGGCTTCAGCGTCAAGGATGGAGCTGGTGGAAGCCACAAGACAAGGAGGACGTCTATTGCTGGATCAGCTACTTTCTCTCACTCCCTCGTGAATTTGACTCAGGTGACGATGCCAGGAAGATTTTAGTTTGTAGAAGACTTAGTAAGAGAGTCTGTGAGAGTCCCCATAAGGAGTGTAAGGGGGCGCTACAGTACACAAACAATCAAAGAAGAGTATTTTGAATCGTCCGCTGTAGTTTTAGTTTGTGCTTTCTCGGGACATACATTTAATCATTATCCACCTGCACTGAGTACAAAAGTCTTTTTACCTTTTTACAAATTTGAAAGGACCTTTATTTTGACTTAAGTTACAACCTGTTCAAAATGCAGTACTTCATAGTTTCTATTTCCTTACACCAAATGCGATCTCCACAGGACACAGGCCCAATTTGTTTACTGGATAAGTGTGAACCAGTTTTTGAAGAACTCGAGGATCATCAGGTATTTTGTGTATGGTGATATCTGTTCTACATTTTTCATGTAAACGGATGTTAGGTTACTGGTTGTCATCATCCAATTTAGAATTAGTGATTGGACTAAATCCCTTGACAGTGAAAGTATAAGAATAAGTGACATGTTTTTCTTCCGTTTTGTGCAGGTGGCCCTTCAGAGCATGCTCAGTGGTAGTGCCGCTGGCTCGTTTGCAGACGACATCATGAAATGGCAGAAGCGACTGCAGACAATAGAGGCTGTGTTGAGTGTTTGGCTTGAAGTACAGGAAAAGTGGATAGAACTTGAGGATGTAAGTATAAGTTTCTACGTATCAACTAACAAATTTTATTAACTCTGAATAGCATAAAACTAAGTGGGTAAATTCCTTTTTAATCGCCGTATTTTGCAACATTTGAAGTTTTGCAATAAAAGAGGCGTGTAATTCCTTAAAAGTGCCGTGTCCATCTGTTCTGTTGTAGGGCATGAATTAGGAATTAGGGCCACCTTTTAAAAAAAGAGTACTGAGAAAAGTTTTTTCCTGTCATATTGAATACAACTGCTAAAAGCAGCCCTGAATGGCACTTGTCTTCTTGATTTCTAGTCTTTTCAGGCCCCTTTACAGTTATAGGCTTCAGGCCTCGACGGAATTCAAATCCGTCACCCTTTTTTTCTGGCTTCTTTTCCGCAATTGCTTAAATGCAACTCGTCTCTTGTTAGCCAAGTGCCCAGTACACTTCTAACGTAGGTGTTTTTCCATGTAGGTCTTCTCCAGTTTGGATCTTCGCATTGCTATGCCTCATGAAACGAACCTGTTTTCTGCTGTGAATCGCGACTTCAGAATTTTGATGAAGGTCACTGAGAAAAATCCAAACGTGTTACAGGCGTGCTCAAGGATAAGTAAGTCAACGGCTGTAATAAATCGTTCCTCAGCCTGGTGGTAATACCATTGTTGCTACTTACACGTTTTTGTTCCCATGAGGTTAGATAGACTATGATCATTTATTGGTTACACATATCATAGGCAGATGGAATTCCAAACGACAAGAGGTTTTTAAGATAACAATTTCAGAAGTTGAGCAGTATCTTTCGCGAACAAACTTGGATTATTGTGCAAGTAAAGGTTAACCCGTTAGAGAGAATATTTGGTAGGTTCTTTCTACTTCAACCAGTTTTTCAAGCTTCCTTGTCAAATAATAATTTCTACTTCACTATGGATGTTTAGTGGAAGACAATAACAAATCTACGTATGGTGTACGATCCTCGCAGTAGAGAGCGCTATTTATGCAATAGCGAAAATCAGAGCTGAAAAAAAAAAAATCAGGCCTGTACGGGATTCGAACCACTGACCTCTGCGATACTGGTGGAGAATAACAAATCTGCTACAACCAAATTGTATCTCTTCCTCTTTCCCTCATGAAACTGTTTTTGCTATCCTTTTGGGAACAGTATGTATGATGTAAAGGCAAAAGTATTTTACACTGTAAGCGAAACACTCCTAACAACGTCGTATTGTTACTTCATATTTATTAATTTCCTACAGACATTCAAGCCAAACTAGAGAAGCTGAACATGAATCTTCAGCAGTGTTGGAAATCTCTTTTAAATCATCTTGAACGACGTCGCCAGAAATTTCCTCGCTTTTACTTCCTCTCTACTGAAGATGTACTTCATATTGTATGCAATGGTATGTCACTCTAAATCAGTTTCTTGCATCGTTTTGATTTAACATTAAGCGATTAAATTGTTCTTGTAATTTTTGTTACTCCTCTTTTTTCAAGGTTACGATCCAGGCCTCGTAAATCCATATTTGCCGAAAGTGTTGGAAAACCTTGGTGCCCTTGTTTACGAGGAGGTTGAAAACGAAGGACAAGTTTATTTTAGTATTACCGCTGT